GTAGTGACCACATCTGTTGCCAACCGACTCAAATTTATTTTCATTTTCAGAGTCCCAGATTCAAGTAAGCATGACTTACAACATCTTTGCCAGAAACGGATTTGGATGGAACTCCTGAGAAAAATATTAAAATCACTCAGGGCAAAATGCCAAACATTTCCTTTGATATGATGGACAATTTAGGGCTGGTTGATATGGCAATTCAAGAGTGTATACCTATTTTTCCGACAGGCACAGATTCTTTTTCAAGAGCAGACTTGATTTGGACTTCAAAGAAGTTGGCTATTAACGAAGAAGAATTAAAGAAATCCCCAGAGAAGATAACTATTGCTCAACAAATTCAAGCTTTTAGAAAGCAATTATCTGCGTTAACAGTAAGAGCAAAGGAGATAAAAATGAATTATGTAAAGCAAAAAACAAACAAACATTGAGTTTGTGAATAAACCAAGGAAGCAGCCAGCACATAAAACATGAAAAGAGAAGAAATGGTATTGAAATTATAAGAAGGAGATACTGTATTAATCATTAATGCAGCCCTACAAAAAGCATTTTCATCAATATTATTTCAATTTGTATAAAGGAAATGACATTGCTTTGGAGAAAAAAGAGGAAGATTTGAAGAAATAAAATCTACGGAGGATTACAGAGAAAAAGAGAGAGCTTATGAAGGGACCTATAACAATAAGGGAACTTTCTGAAGTTATAAATATATTAAATTAGGAAAGATTCCTGGGCCAGAATGATGGTCAGTTTTTTTTGTCCAAAAGGTGCTTTTTCAAAAGGCAACTGGACTTTCTTTGTTTTTCCTCGAAGACATTTCACTTCTCATCCAAGAAAATTCTTCAATCTCCAAGAACTGAAGAAGCTTCTTGGATGAAACATCTTCAAAGAAAAACAAAGGAAGTCCAGTTGCCTCTTGAAAAAAAAATATCTTTGGGACGACAATAAACCTGGATAACTGAGAATCTCCATAGACACTTATCAGTTTCTTTTATTATTATGAACTTTTACAATCTTCATAAAATATGACAAACTCTATTGTATAGGGAGAAAGGATGCTAGAGAGTTGGAAAGAAATCAATATAGCATTAATACCCCAAAAGCAGGGGTGAAATTCAGCAGGTTCTGACAGGTTCTGGAGAACCAGTAGTGGAAATTTTGAGTAGTTCAGAGAACCAGCAAATACCACCTCTGGCTGGCCCCAGAGTGGGGTGGGAATGGAGATTTTGCAGTATCCTTCCCATGGAGTGGGGTGGGAATCAGGGGTGGGTTCTACTTACCTTTATTACCGGTTTGCAACGGGGCCGCGCGCTTTCTGCGCAAGCACAGAAGCTTCTGCGCATGTGCAGAAGCGTTTTCATGATGTCAGGGTCAGTGGGCGGAGCCTCCCGCCGGTTTTACTACTGGTTCTATAGCACCGGTGCGAACCGGGGGCAACCCATCACTGGTGAGAATGGAGATTTTGCAGTATCCTTCCCCTGGTGAGCCACACCCACCAAGCCACATCCACAGAACTGGTAGTAAAAAAAATTGAATCTCACCACTGCCCAAAAGGGATAAACTGTTGACTTTAACAAAAAGCTACAACACAGCTGATATCCCTATGGCTACAAGTTGTTCATAATGATCGTCGCGAATAGACTGAAAATAACTTTGCAAGAATTTTAACTAAAGGGGTTTAACTAAATGGTTAAAGGACAATGTTAGAAATGTGTTAGACATTTTGGAAGGTTTTAAGCAGTGGTGAAATCTAAAATTTGTTACTACCGGTTCTGTGGTCGTGGCTTGGTGGGGGGGGGTGTAATGTGACTGGGGGGCGTGGCCATTTTTTTTTTAAACTTTTAAAACCATTAAAAGTTTAATATTGACCCAGATTGTGGGGGCAATAAGCTGCTTTGTATAAATATACAAAAGTATGAAGGCTATTGCTTAATGCATTGTAAGCCGCCCTGAGTCTTCGGAGAAGGGTGGCATATAAATCAAATCAAAGAATAAATAAAAATAAAATTAAGACTTGTGGCTGGCTGGGGAATTCTGAAAGCTGAAGTCCACAGGTCTTAAAGTTGCTAGCGTCGGAGATCCCTGGTTTACTACATTACAAAAAATATATATATATATGGAGGCTTATATGATTAAAAATGGCCAATGAGCCAGTTTCAAATCAGATCAGCACAGGCATAAACATTCCATAAACAAACCCAGAACCCGGCTAGAGATAGATCATCATGGAAAATATCAATCATGATTCGCTAGGAGTCAAAAATGATTTGGTAGTGTATCATCAATCATTTGAGCCACCATTTCGTTTTTGATCAGACTTTCCATTCGTCAACACCGAGCTCGAGCATCAAACTTGGATTTAATAGATAAATAGTTGTTCAATCTTTTCTTAAATACCATGTTGGAGCACCCACAACTTCTGGAGGTAAGCACTTCCACGGATTAATTGTTCTGACAGGAAATTACTCCTTAGTTCTACGTTGCTTCTCTCCTTGATCAATTTCAATCCAGAATGATTCTAGAATGATTTTATCTAATCCACAGAGGTCTCCAAGTGGGTCCAACAGGCTGCAGCACCAACTGGGATTCTAACTCATCTTGCAGGGTTTCTATTTTCACCCTTCAGGATGGTTTTATTTATTTGTTTGTTTGCTTGTTTATTTATTATTTTAATAACTCAAGGTGGTGAACATATCCAAAACACCTTCCTCCTCCTATTTTCCCCATAACAGCAACCGAGTGAGGTGGGTTGGGCTGAGTCAGAGTGACTGGCCCCAAGTCACCCAGCTGGTTTTCATCCCTAAGGTGGGACTCGAACTCACCATCTCTTGGTGATTGGCCCAAAGTCACCCAGCTGGCTTTCATGCATAAGGCAGGATTTGAACTCATGATCTCCTGCTTTCTAGGCTCGTGCCTTAACCACTAGACAAACTGGCTCTCTAGGATGGGAATGAGTATCACAACAAGATCCATCACTGAGTAGCTTTGATCTAGCTTTGTTCCCCTCGCACATATGTGCTAGTCGTTCCCGACTCTAGGGGGCAGTGCTCATCTCCGTTTCGAAGCCGAAGAGCCAGTGCTGTCCGAAGACGTCTCCGTGGTCATGTGGCCAGCATGACTAAATGCCAAAGGCACACGGGACGCTGTTACCTTCCCAACAAATGTGGTCCCTATTTTTCTACTTGCATTTTTTTATGTGCGTTTGAAATGCTAGGTCGGCAGAAGCTGGGACAAATAACAGGAGCTCACCCCGTTACGCGGCACTAAGGATTCGATCTATATGGAATGATTTATACCCCATTTCCTAATTTAGAAAAAGATACTGCTGGATGCATCCTTTTCATAGGTTAAGCTGTGAGACGCTGCATAATTTGAATTTGGGCTCTAAGCTTTTTCAAGGAACTCACCAATTGACCTATGAGTGACACCAGCTTTCTTCAAGATGGTGCTCTCCAGTTAGCCTACTGACTACAAGTCCCAGAATTCTCTGCTTGTTCTTGATCCCTACGGGGTAGACATTCTAAGCATTGGAAGGTGCAAATTGTAGGGAGACTATTTTACACAAATAATATTCCCCAGGATTGGTCACATTTGCTTTCAGCCTGCCTTAGGAAAAATGATTAACTTCCTTGAAGATTTATCCTACCTGTAAAACAATCAGTTTAATGTATGCCGATTAGTGTATATATTCAAAGTGACAATAAAGTTATTCTAAATTCTAAATCTAATCCTAACTTCCTCTGATACACGTGAGGACACCAAGATATTTCCATAAATATCCATCCAAAGGCCTTGGAGTTAGGAAATGCAGGTAGTCCTCGACTTACGACCACAATTGAGCCCAAAATTTCTGTTCTTAAGTGAGACATTGGTTGAGTGAGTTTTATCCCATTTTGCAATCTTTCTTGCCACTGTTGTTAAATGAATCACTGCAGTTGTTAACTTAATACCACGGGTGTTAAGTGAATCTGGCTTCCCCATTTGCTTGTCAGAAGGTCGCAAAAGGTCACATGACCCTGGGACAAGGCAACCATCATAAATATGAATCAGTTGCCAAGCAGCTGAATTTTGATCTCATGATCCCAGGGATGCTACAATGGTCATAAATGTGAAAAACAGTTGTAAGTCACTTTTTTCAGTGGCCTTACAACTTTGAGTGGTCACTAAATGAACTGTTGTAAGTCGAGGACCACCTGTATTGTATCTCTAGCAAGATCTGAGGAAGTAAGGAATCTAGGACAGATAAATAGAAATATTAAAATTCACACAGCTTTTTTCTGATATGCCCATTGCTTAGCAAGCATTCTCTTACTCTAATAGCAATTTTTAACTCAGCTTAATTGACTGTGGCCTGCATCACATACAAAGAAGCTCAATCAAGCAATTGTAAAGAAAAAAATATGTTCTCTCTTTTACAATGGGAGCTATTTAGCACATCCACATGAACCTCTGCTAATTATCTATAAAATTTTGTTGCCTATTGGGCATGCTCTTTCTGTTGTTGCTGCTCATCAGATTTATTTATTATATTTATTTGTTAAATTGATTTGCCGCCCATCTCACCGTTGGGCTATTCTTCGGTGGCTTACAACAGTAAAGTGGAGGGGAAAATGATAAAAAATGCAAACATAACACTAGCAAAGCACTGAAACAAAAACAAACACTAAAAGTACAATAACACGGATTAAAAGATGGGTGGAGAGGGAGCAGGAAGCGCAGGGGAATGATAGGGAAGACTAATTGCTATAAGGCTACAATATCTGGGCTTCAAGCTTCAGGACAACCACTAGAGGGCAGTAAAGAGGTATGAAAAATCTCTCTTAAGAAGCCCTCTAGTGGCCATTTGGATGTTTCCACCCTCAAGATTGTTATTTAATAAGTAGCTTTGCCTGTTTGGCTCCCCAAACCTGCCTTTCTAAATATTGCATCGCACTTCTCATTTTAGAAGATTTTTGAGGTATAGGGATGACAAGTGACAGTCCCAAGTTTTAGGTACTTACGATTGATGGCTGGCCGGTTCATCGCTGCCCTTGCTGATATAGCTGGCTGGAACATAGCCCACGACTCTGTCTCCAGAGAAGCGCCTTGCTAGGACATAACCCCCTTCTTCTTTGAGGACATAAAGTTTGTCCCCTCTAGTGACACTCAGCTCCTCGGCATTCTTGGCAGTGTAGTTGTATAGCACCCCACGGAGGGAAGCTCTGTCTTCAGCAGGGTCAGGATCCAGCGTGGGATGTAAGGATCCTGGGATCGGTTCCCAGGACTCTAAAGAACGGTTACCGGAGGCTCCGTTGGACACGCACTTGTTCCAAAAGGTTTGAAAGAAATGCAAGTGTTTTCGGATGAAATTGTCCATCCCTTTCTGGGGAAGTTTCTCCAAGGAGATTTAGCTCTGCTCTTCCAACAAGCTGCTCGGAGTGAAGAAGGAAAGTCTGGTCACCTTCATAGCTTCTTCTTTCATTGCTCGTGGATCAATGAGTCAAGGTTGCCTTCCCGTCTTCTCTCTCCCGGAGCCAGCAGAAGTGAAGTGAGATGCTTCCTGGATCCTTGGATACCTGAATGTGTTTGTAGGCCACGGGAACTCTTTGCTTCTCAAAGTGAGACTTGACGTTCAGGTGTAACTTGTTTGCTGCAGGTTGAGCTCATAAGTTTAGGCTTGCCACCACATCCGTCTCAGCTGGATGTTTGTTTATTACCCAATCAACTCACTCACCTCTCGGGCTACGCTCTAAATTAGCACTCATTTCCACATCATTTCTTACAGAGTCTTTCCATTCACTTTCGTGGCCATCAAGAAGTCTATCCTTGAGATTCTCAATTGTCCAGGTCATGGCTATCCCAGCAAGAAAAAACAGCCCCTTTCAGCTTCAGCATAGGTTAATTAGCACATGTTGATTAGATCGGCCTCCCGACTCTCAGCTGTTTCGCGCAGGGCTCTGTTGCTAGCTGCAAAGAGTGCTGGAGCAGATTTTTTTTCCCCTAGCTATGCTGAAAAAACGAAACTGAAAGTAAAACAGGCTCTTGGCTGCAATGTGACAAAATGAGGCAGAGAGAGATTTCTTTTTCTTTTTGCTCACCGAAAAAGGTAGGATTCAAACAATGGGAAATTTAGGGCAAAAGAGGAGAGTTCAAGATTTTAAAACACAAAAGAAAAAAAGCTCTATTTAACTAGGAGTTAAGGTTTCAGTGGGGGAGGTAGTACTTTGAGGATAAGTAGATTAATCTAGTTTATGTTTGACTAAATGAAATACCTTGTATTTTGCTCTGGGAAGTCGGGGGGGGAGGGTGGAATGAAGGGGGGTAAAGGGTGGGGGGAACGGGGGGGGAATTTTCTCCTTTTTGTAAACTTTTTAATTAAAAAAAAAGCTCTATTTAACTAGGGAATTGTAATAATTGAGATAATATTATTAATTGTATATTGTGTTGAAAGCAGAAATGGTTAAGTTGTCGTTTGGAGGAATATATGGGGAAAATTATTTGGTTTATTATTGGTAAATATAATTAATTGATTTGTAAGAAATTGGATTGCATGGAAATAATTGGAATATTCATGTTCATATTGATTAATATACAAAAAGATAGTTATAACTAATTGATTTATATAAAAATGTTGAATTTGTATTAAACAATTGTAATATTAAATAATTAACCAATGTGAGGATGGATATAAAAATAGATGACAATGGGAAGGGGTATAATATAGAATAGAAGGGAAAAATTGAATTTGATTAAGATTAGAGATGAGAATGAAGGGTAATATTGGCTTTTTTAAAAAAATAGATGAGGAATAAATATGGCAAAAAGGAAACATAGAAATTGTAAATTTAATTGAAATGACTAAACACTGTTTAAATTTGTGAACCAGCCAAATACTCTGTTCAAAGAAAATACATTGTATGTTTGTATGTGTGTTTGTCTAAAAAATAAAAAAAAACTTTAAAAAAAACAACCAAAAAAGGTAGGTGTGTCTTATACTCCGGTGCATCTTATACTCTGAAAAGTACTGTATATTCCTGTAGTATGGAAAGAGTTTTATTATTATTATTTTATTATTATTTATTAGATTTCTATACCGCCCTACTCCCGAAGGACTCAGGGCGGTGCACAGCCAAACAATAAAAACACATACAATACAAAATTTAAAAAATAGAATAAAATCAAATTAAATAATTTTGGCCCCGACAAATTTAAAACCCCAAACTTTTAAAACCAATTTAAAATTGAATATATAAATACTAAAAAATATTTAAAATTTTAAAAATCTTTTATAAAAGAGGGGGAAAATTAGGCCAGGCCGGCCTGGTGAAATAGTAAGGTCTTTAAGGCGCGGCGGAAGGTGCGCAGATCCGGGATCCTCCGTATCTCTGGGGGGAGCTCGTTCCAGATAGTAGGTGCCCCCACAGAGAAGGCTCTCCCCCTGGGGGCCGCCAGTCGGCATTGTTTGGCTGACGGCACCCGGAGGAGCCCCTCTCTATGGGAGCGTACCGGCCGGTGGGAGGCTATTGGTGGTAGTAGGCGGTCCCGCAAGTACCCGGGTCCTAAGCCATGGACAGTGGAAATCTCTACCGACATCAAAGGATTAATCATGATTCACCAAGATTCAACCTCTCACAAAGAAGAAAATTTAGAAATGTACGGAGTGGGAAAAATCCTTAGGAACAAATGGAAATAACCAAAACTATGTAAGAATCTACATGGGAGAGGAACCTTATATAGCATGGCTAACATGTTTTAGTAATCAGCAAAATCAGTTCAGCTGTGGATGAAGTGCTCCAAAGTTTATCAAGGTATAAGAAACTACTTCAATATTGATTACTGTTGTAATTAAACCTAAAAAGGCAGGTTTCTGGATACTTACACTTCATTGCCATCTCAAATAGTATGTGTTAACGTGAGCAAGGACTGTATCAACTCAAATATTCCAAGGTATATAAATTTCTGAAACATTTTACTGTACTTTCTATAAATAGTCAGTAAATAGTAAACGCAGTTAACATGAGTTTTACTATTGTTTTACTGCTGTTATATAAAAGGAACAATTTCCTTGATGAGGGTGTGACATTGTCCAGATGAGGGTTGTATCAGTCGGATCTGATGCTGGCTGAGTCATAATTTTTGACCACTCCCCTTGCTCCGCCCCTTTCATGCTCAGTTTAGACTCAGTCGGCCTGAGAGAAACATCTACAGATCTGGCTTTATAGCCCAGGTCTGTTCAATATCACAGAATTGTAAGTCTTTTTGACCACCTTTTTATTTCTCTAGTTTAAAATTGTTACTTCCCCTTTAAATTTTCCTAAGGTACCGGTCTACCATGCTATTTTTTTTTTTTCCCCTTCTATTGTAGCCTGCCAGTTTTGCCTTGCCAGAGCGTCCTAAGCTGCCAGGCTTTGCTTCGCTCCTGGCGGCGGCCATTTTGAAAGCCCCATTTTAAAAGGGAACTTTTTTCCTTTTTTTTTTTCCTGTCTTTTTTGGGGGGGATTTTTTTGATCTATCCCACCAACGATTGTTTAAGGGGCCCTAGACCACAATACCACCAACAATAATAGCGATTCCCTAATTTTAAGGGAAATCGCCAAATCGGGCTGCCGCCCACGCTACAGCCATCCCAAAACCGCTGATCAGCTGTAGAGCGGTTAATTGAAGCGCCTCGGCAATTTTAAAAGAAATTTTTTGCCGCTTTACCACCAACGAGTCTGCAAGTTTGGGGGGGGCAGCAAGCTTCTTCTTGCCTCCCCCGTGGCATTTCCAGCCAGTATTTTTTATTTTTTTCTCTTCATGGCTGTGGGGGCGCTGAGGAGGTCCGTTTCTAGGCTTGCCTAGACAGATACCTCCGGAGCAGAGTTTCCTCCTGCTCAAGTGTGACCTGGCAGCCATCGTGCTTAACGCCAGAGTCGTTGCCATCTCAAATTTCAACCACGTGGCGAAACTGAAACCAAAAGCTATTTCTCCAGTCGACATTGTGGTAGCAGTGAGTATACTAAAGATGGCAGATCGCTCTTCCCATGGGGAGGAAAATACTATGTACACTGGGAAGAAATCAACTTCCAAACGTAAGCACCTTTCTAAGCCACAAAGAGGCATAAATCTCTAGAAAAGCAAGCTAGTGAAGTGCCTGCAACTGAGCCTGGTAAGGGGACCCCCCCATCTACCCCCCCTCCTCCCATTTCAACTGTTAGCCAGGTCTGGTCTTCGGAGGGAGAGGGTAATGTTCTTCAACAAGACCAAAGCAATTTGCAAAACCCCTTTGCAAGTCAATGACCCCTGCAACTCCTGTATTTGGTGGGCATGCAGCTGCAGCTGCTTCAACAGGTGAATCCTCTATGCCTGTGCTAACCCCCGAAGATCCATTAAAAAATGTGCCAGAAGGATTGAGAATTCTGATTGAACAGGCCATTGCTTCTAGAATGGCAGCCAATATTCATGGTCACCACTCTGGCTCTGCTATTTCAGAGCGATCTGCCCGTATTAGAATTTCTCCTGCAGTCAGTCTTACTGGCTCTCATTCTCCTGCAGCCTCCAGAGTTAGTGAAGCCTTTGTGTTTGAGGAAGAGAGACATTCTGACCTATCAGATGATGAGGGGATAATCCAAGATCAACCTGCCTTTACAGGATTATTTCCCCCCAATAAATTCAAGTCTTTATTGCATAAGGCTCGCTTAACAGCCGCCTTAAAGGAAGATGAATACTTTCAAGAGATGCAGGAGGCTCAAAAGGGTGGACTACAGGGACCTTTTTCTGAGCCCCCCCTGAACTTTGTTATGTACCAACTCCACAACTGTTCATAGACGTGGTAAAGAAACAGTGGGCTGGGCCTGCAACCATGGCATCTGCACATGGTTCAGATAAGAAATATTATGCTGTTGCTTCAAAGTTTGCTCAACTCTTGCAAGTTCCACCTGTAGACAGCCCTGTAGCGGCCCTTTCCTCTTCTTCCTCATATGTAACTGGGGATACTTCTGAAGGTCTAAGGCCAGAAGACAAAAAGTTAGAATTTCTGTTTAAAAAGAACCATCAGGCCTCGGCATGGGCAATTCAATCAGCTTCATCAGCCTCATTTTTTAATAGAACTACCATCCTTTGGCTTCAACAGTTACAGGCAAGGGTACCTCCCAGTGAGGTTTGCCTTCATCAGGATATTAATAAAATCATTGCTGCCACTCAATTTTCGGCTGATGCAACCTTGAATTCAGCCAAATTTGCATCCAGAGCCTTAGCCTCTACAGTTTCAGCCCGCAGGATGCTCTGGCTTCGCCAATGGCCTGCTGACCTTAAGGCCAAATGGCACTTGGCTGCAGCTCCATATTCTGCAAACAAACTATTTGGGGAATCACTTGACCCTCTTCTTGTAGAGACACGGGATAAGCGAAAAATTTTGCCCTCAACATACAAACGGGCTGAAGGAAGACCCTCTCCATATTACAGAAGGCCTTCCTTTCGTTCCTACCCCCAGGGAGGCCCCTCCAGGCAGGAATATCTTCAGGGATCCTATCGATCCTCGGACCGTCAATATTTTCGGGACAGGAGCAGACAATTCCAGCCCAAACGGTCCTTTCGGGGTTCTGGTTTCCGCCAGTCCCGCAGTCGTAAGTGACTCACTACCAAA